GGCTCGTCTCCCGTGCCCGGTTCTTCAACCGCATTCCTGTGCGCCACGTCTGCGGCCGTCCCCTCTGCTGGCCTCCACCCACTCCCACTACGGGCGGGCACGTGGCTGTGCGGGGCTTCCCAGCCAGGGTGGCACACCCACTGCGCTGATGTGCGCATGTGCGGACACCCGTAGATTGCACCTGACCTTGGGAACCGGCTTTGGGGCGAGGGGGGGGGGCACTGCTGGGCCTGGGCGCGCATGTCTGCACCTGCATCTCCTAGGTCGGCCATCCCCCCCGCACCTCCCTAAGGCAGGCTGGACGAGGCCGTGGTCAGCCTGTGGGCGCACATGTCTGCACATGCGTGTGGTGAATGTGGATGCCCGACCCGGGGGTGGGAAACCTCTGCTGGGCTTGTGTGTATGTGTCTCCTGTGTGCTTCGTGCCCTCTCTCCAGAGGCCCCCGCTGCCTGGTGCCACCGCTGCACATGCACGTGGTGGATCTGGATGCCTGGTGGTGGGGGTCGGGGTGGTGGTGGTAAACTCCCTTAGGCCGGTGTGCGCATGTGCACGGTGGTCAGTGTGCGCGGGTCTGCACATGCGCATAGTGCCTCGGGGGCCTGTGCGCGAGTGGGCACGTGTGTGTTCTGGGCCCCGTGGTCTCCTGGGCCTGCCACTCCTCCTCACCTGGCTGGATGAGGCCCCGGGCCGTGCCCTCCCCCCGCCCCGTTTGCCCATGTTGGTGAGGTGGTTTGTGTCCCCCTTGCCCAGCTCCCCGGTTGCCCCGCGCCCGGCACGTGCCCGTCTCACCTCCAGCTGGAGGTCCCTGCTCCGCATGACTGCCATGTTCTTCTCCTCGCTGAGCTGGGCGTAGCGCATGGCCAGGTTGTAGTTGTCGTCCTTGACCTTGACCAGCTCGTCGTTGTAGCCGTCCCGCTCCTCCTTCATCTTGTGGTAGCGCTCCTGGAAGGTCAGAAGCTCCACCCGCGTGAGGGTCAGCTGCTTCTTCTCGTCCTCCAGCTGCCGAGACTTGGCCAGCAGCTCGCAGCGCTGCAGGTCCTTGGCTTTCATCTGCTGCTGCAGCTTGATGACCTCGTTCATCAGGAAGTGCGTCAGGCCCTCGTGGCCTTCCTCCACTGCAAAGGGGGACACGCGTCAGGCCCAGAGGACACTAGACGTGGACAGGTGCCCCTCCCTTGGACCTCCGCTCCACAGCGCTGTCCTGAGTTCCTACTGTTTACCACGGGCTGGGGATGGGGTGAGCCAGGAGGGCTTCGACCCAGTGGCCCCAGCAGTGAGCACTTCAGGTCCCCAGGGGCTACTTCGTGTTCAGCTCCATACCACCACAATAAAGCCACTATTGTGACAACCAGGTCACGTGTGTGTGTG